CGGGATGGGAAAGAATGAGTTCGGGCTCGACTGAAGAAGAGGAGAGCGAGCGGTCTGGGAGCCGGGTGTGTTAGGGATTTAGGATTTTAAAGTGAAAAAGAATTTTTTTTTAATTAAAGTTGAACATCCCTCGATTTGCAATGTTATTCTCTTGTGAACGAAACTACAACAAAATGAGTGTCCTTTCCAACTAAAATTGACGTTTCGGACGCGACGACGCAGTTCGTTTCGTCATCTGAGGTCGTTTGGGTAACCTCACCGACAATCGAGTCAAAAGAACGTGTCAAATTCAGTTTTCGTCAAAATTCTGCTTTGTGATCGATCTTTTCAAAAGTTATTTAAGCTTTCGACAAATAACGGCGCAGGCGATGTGAATTATGGTAATCGAATGTGTCGACTGTCTGAATCGCGAAGTTTGGGCGGACAAAGGTGCAAATTGTGTATAAGGCAGTCTCAGGCTTAAAGATCATATAAAGACTCCTTTCGCAGACGATGTGAATTATGGTAATCGAACGTGTCGACTGTCTGAATCGCGAAGTTTGTGCGGACAAAGGTGCAAATTGTGTATAAGGCAGTCTCAGGCTTAAAGATCCTATAAAGTCTCCTTTTGGATTTTCTCATGTTGGTTTCAACCTCCAAATGCTAGAGGTCGATATCACACATCCAAACTCCAAAAGAGTAAAGAAGCAGGTTGAATTTCTAAAATGAGGCGAGTTCAATTTCTAAGGTTCTAAGATAATCAAAGGGAGAACCCTAAGGCTAGATCCTAAACCCTAAGAAAAAAACTAGACCTCATTAAAAAATGAGGTCAACAAGGCTCCGTGAGTAGACGTTAACTTAGACTTCAAGGTGGGGCTTCCAAAGATACAATGGAATAAGGATTCATTCGTGGTCATCGTGGGCCGATTCTCGAAGATGTCACATTTCATACCATGCCACCAAACACTAGATGCCTCGCATATCGCCGATTTGTATTCAGAGTAAACCTGACTGCTCAGGATATCTAGGTCCATCACATCAGATAGGGATGTCAAGTTTATGAGTCACTTCTAGAGGACTCTATGGAAAAAGTAAGTATTAAGCTTTAATTTAGTTTCGCAGTTCACTCTTAAATTGACTGCCAGACGGAGGTATTAAATAAGAGCCTTGGAAATCTTTTGAGATGTTTTGTGACAGAGTAATCCCTCTGTGACCTATATTTCATAGTAATCGTAACTTCATTGTATACCCAGAACCATCACATGAGAGAGAAATGTCAATTTTCTGAGCCACTTATGGTGGACTCTATGGAGAAAATTAGGCATTAAGCTTCACTTTAGTTTCGCAGTTCACCCTCAAGTTGAGGGCCAGCGGAGGTGGTAAAACAAGACCCTTGGGAATCCTCTAAGATGCTTTGTGACAAAGAGTATCAAGCAGAGTGACTTGATTCTAGCTCAAGACGAGTTTGCATACAACAGATCCGCCAGTCAAATTATGGGACGCACTCTGTTTGAGATTGTGTATGGGCACAACGCTCTCACTTCATTTTAGTAGTACTAATCCTGCCAACATCAGAGATCAGTAAGTATGCTGAAAAACAGGTTCACGAGATTCAGATGCTCCACGAGGAGATTGGGAAGAAAATATCTAAGAAAAACTACAAATATCAGGCTCCGGAGAATAATAAAAGGAAAAATGTGACGTTTCCAAAAAGAGACCTCATGTGGATTTGGCGGAAGGATAGAAATTCAATGGGAGCATTCGACAAAATCAAACTCAGAGCAGATAGATCTCTTAGGATACTTTGGAAACCGAATGACAACGCCTATAAGATCTACATTCTAGGGGACTACAATGTTTCCGCTATGTTCAATGTTGTGGGCCTTACACAGTACTACGAGAACTAGAATCGTCGATGAATATAGTCGAAGCTTCTCATAACCCTGAAAGACTGATGCAGGGCTTAGGTTTGAACCAGTTGGTCCAACATATGAGTGTTGATACAACCTCCTCCCCTTCCACCTCCTTTTCTTCTATTCAATTCCCTTCCTATTCTATTCTCAGCTTTTTTTTATCCCCTCCCTATTATATTTCTTGTCTATTCTTTTTCCTTCCTATTCCTATTCCAACTACTATTATCTATTATATATTCATGTTGTTTTCTTGTTTAGGGTTCGATTCTTGATTTGTCTCTGATTTTAAACTTCTTGCTCCAACATTTCTCCCTTTTTAAGGCTGTATCTAACAACAAGGTGTTTCGAATGTAACTCGTTTGATGTGGTAATTTATCTTTGCTTGTTCCTTCTCTTCGTGTTGATGCCTGCCATCCAACACCTATCCTGTTTCCGCCTGCCATCCAACACTTATCCAACTGTCACAGGCCACCCCCTGGATCTTCCCTAGTGTCGTTAGCTCCCTTTCGCATCGTCCAACCAGGCCGCAACTCTCCAACACCCTCCAGCCAGGCCTCAACCCCTCCAACACCCTCTTGCCAGGCTACACTTCCGTCCTTAACAAGCATGCGACCTTCCCTTCATGCCATCCAAACCCATCACAACTCATATCCCATCCTTCCAACTACTGCAGCATCCCTCCCTTGACCCTCCAGTCGGAGCCGCGGGCACCGGCCCCAATATTTGGTACTATTAAGGGACGCAAATATCAGGCTTCAGAAGTTCCTTCCCATTTGTGACAAAGAGTATCAAGCAGAGTGACTTGATTCTAGCTCAAGACGAGTTTTCATACAACATATCTGCCAGTCAAACTATGGGACGCACTCTGTTCAAGATTGTGTATGGGTACAACACTCTCACTTCATTTGAGTTAGTACCAATCCTGCCAACATCAGAGATCAGTAAGGATGCTGAAAAACAGGTTCACGAGATTCAAAAGCTCCACGAGGAGGTTGGGAAGAAAATCTCTAAGAAAAACTGCAAATATCAGGCTCTGGAGAATAATAAAAGGAAAAAGGTGACGTTTCCAAAAAGAGACCTCATGTGGATTTGGCGGAAGGATAGAAATTCAATGGGAGCATTCGACAAAATCAAACTCAGAGCAGATAGATCTCTTAGGATACTTTGGAAACCGAATGACAACGCCTATAAGATCTACATTCTAGGGGACTACAATGTTTCCGCTATGTTCAATGTTGTGGGCCTTACACAGTACTACGAGAACTAGAATCGTCGATGAATATAGTCGAAGCTTCTCATAACCCTGAAAGACTGATGCAGGGCTTAGGTTTGAACCAGTTGGTCCAGAATATGAGTGCTGATATAGCCTCCTCCCCTTCCCCCTCTTTTTTTTCTATTCAATTCCCTTCTGTAGAGGGAACTCCCTTCATATTCTATTCTCAGCCTTTTTTTATCCCCTCCCTATTATATTTCCTGTCTATTCTTTGTCCTTCCTATTCCTATTCCAACTACTATTATCAATTATATATTCATGTTGTTTTCTTGTTTAGGGTTCGATTCTTGATTTGTCTCTGATTTTAAACTTCTTGCTCCAACATTTCTCCCTTTTTAAGGCTGTATCTAACAACAAGGTGTTTCGAATGTAACTCGTTTGATGTGGTAATTTATCTTTGCTTGTTCCTTCTCTTCGTGTTGATGCCTGCCATCCAACACCTATCCTGTTTCCGCCTGCCATCCAACACTTATCCAACTGTCACAGGCCACCCCCTGGATCTTCCCTAGTGTCGTTAGCTCCCTTTCGCATCGTCCAACCAGGCCGCAACTCTCCAACACCCTCCAGCCAGGCCTCAACCCCTCCAACACCCTCTTGCCAGGCTACACTTCCGTCCTTAACAAGCATGTCGATCTTCCCTTCATGCCATCCAAACCCATCACAACTCATATCCCATCCTTCCAACTACTGCAGCATCCCTCCCTCGACCCTCCAGTCGGTGCCGCGTGCACCGTCCCAAATATTTCTATGCCTGCGAACCAGCCGGTGTCCACTCCGCCACTCTCTTCTTAGAAGACCGTTTTCTGTTTGTGTTATTTTATGTTGAAGAGTCTTCAACAACAAATATTTTTGTTTTATCATAGTTTGGGTTTACTCCGGTATCATCCATGCTCATCCATTAGTGTTTAGCTTTGTTGGTTGATTTTGTTGTTGCAAATTACACTTATCATCTTTGCTTATTCAACGAACATACTAGATCTAGTTACCAATCAATAAAAGCTTTTGGATCACTTTCATCAATCAGTTACGTCAAAATTTTGAAATCTACAATTTCAATAAGCATCATTGTTGAAGACCCTAAATTATTCATCTTGATATTTTCTGTCTCTTGCCAGTATTGGCATTCAAGTGAATTGGATTATTATTATGATTGAAATCCATTTCATGTTCACTTGTATGAGCTTGATTAGCTTCCAACTTAATAGTTTTTTTAATGTTGATATGAACCAGGGAATTTGGGGAGTCTTAAGTGCGATTTATCATAAGTGCTTGGATACTGTTGAAATATGTCAATAACTACCTTTTCTTTTGAACTCTATACCATGTTCTGTCTTATATTTTACCCTCTTTCTTCAAGCATTGTAAAGCTTGTATGGATCTTGATATCAATGATGCTCTTTCATCTCAACAAAAGCTTAATATGCTTTCTGCATTTTATGATAGTTCCATTAATCTCGAATGATACATGCCTTGTTCAAATTTGCTAGGAAAAATGATTCTACTCATTTGAACAGTGTTTATACTATATAGACAATATCCTTTCGATTTCCTTGGGCAATTTCATCGTGTTTCAACTTTTTTGTACCCTTTTTAATGCCTAACATGTACTCCCCTGGCCATACCTTTTCCTTTATTCTTGGCATGTGTGATGAAGGAAAGATTTTCTTAATGTTTGTGTACCGACTCTCCCTGAGGAGGAGAAACCCTTTTCTTTTCTTATTTATTCAATCAATCTGATATATGTGAATTTTGAAATACTCTTTTAGCATCAAAATAATAATTAGCCATTTCACATGTTTTGATGTTGCTCAGAAATAGTTCTCTCTTTTCTTCAGGAAATCGACCAACCAGCATTAATTCCACATATTGCTGAAGCTAACTCCCAAAAATATCCGTATGAAGTTCTCTTTAGGAGCTTGCACAAGCTTTTGATAGATACTGCTACTTCAGAGTAAATTCTGGTTTGCTTAAACTTTTATCTTATTGTGCTCATAAATTGAATGCAGCCAGTTAAATTGTTTATAGTACTTCTTAGGTACCTATTTTGTGATGATTTCTTCGGTGAAGATTCCATATTCTATGAAATCTTTGCAGGTATTCTTTAATTTTTCCTTTAAAGGTTCATTTATTTAGGCTTCTGGAATAATTTTTACATCTTTTTATTTTTCCAGTAGGCACCTCTTGATAATTTTTTTATCCATCGTTGAGTAATATAAATATGGATTTATTTATTAAATATTTTTTTTACAACTAATCCCTCATTTATAAAATAAAGATGAGCTTTTGCTATCAATTGTTTGGCTAAGCAGATATATTGTCAATGGAAATTTACACTTATATGCATCTTGTGGAGCAGGCTCGTAGCTTATGGGCTTGGTACAAGGATCCCGAGAGCCAATGAGGGCCATGAAATTTATTGTAGTTATTTTGAACTTTTTTTCTTTAATTATTTTGAACTTGATATCTACAACTGTCATGCCTTGGTAATAGGTGCTTTTTAAACATTCTCTTTAGTTTTTGAAGAAATGCATGAGTTACTCAGATTTTTTTTTCTCCCTCATGCCTATAACATGGCTCCCAGTTCTACCCTGCTCTCACCTGGTCTCGCTGCTGCACCTTCACTTGCTTACTTGCTCTCTTGTTCACTTGCTTGCTCACAGAAAAGTTACCTCCATTCCAGCTGGTTATTTTATTTATGAATGGGCTTTCATCATTGTATTGCCTACCTATTGCACTTATTGTCGTTGTTATACCTAATCTTCTACATTTGCTATTAACAAGTTTCCTAGGATCAACACTTATGATGCAATAAAACATACTCAGTTATTCTCTAATTATTTATTTTGGTGTCAAAGCTCTAGGAAATATTTCAAAATATCTTTTTTTTTTGGGGGAACTGAATCTTTTTTCAGTTTGTGTTCTTTTTCTGCTCGTGCAAATGCATTGATGCCACAATTTTCCTTTTCATGGATAACAAAATTGTTTATTTTCCCTTTGTCTCAAAATCCCGTGGGATTGAGGTAAACAATTCTAATTCAGTAGGAGAACTGAACAACATTTATTTAAAATATCCATTAATTGGAAATAACTATCTAAAACTGTCACAATTGGTTCACATATTGTTTAATGAAATTGAAAGATTGAGACATTTACTTGGTGTTGAACCTGAGCAAGGAGATTCTATGTTTGGAATGTCTTTGACTTATTGGTGGTGTCCTAGTTATGAAGCTTAATTGCACTTGAGATGAGTGATACATGCTTGTAATCTATCCAACCAAGGAAATATAGGATGGATAAATTAGGCATTTCCAAAATTCTTGATGTCACATAAACTAATGTAGTCACGACCAAGTTCTCATTCACAAAGTGTAAAGGATACTCCATTGCAAAATATTCCAACCTATTGGTAGTCCTTCACATTTCTAACAATGAGATATTCTTATAAATAAAGATGTGGCGCTTCTTAAAAGGTTTGTTAGAAAGATTGAATATATGATTTTCTGGCTAAATGAAATGCTGAGTTTGATACTATAAGGCACATATTCTTAAAACGTTGGGTTTTAATCATTAAATATGATCATTATCATTGTTTGAATTGAAGAATAAAGATGCGGATTCATTATCACCACCAACCTTGTGGAGGGCATGGTCTTAATATCAAAGGATACAAATACAAAAAACTTTGACCCAAAGCCCTCTCCAATCGAGAACCACATGCAATCAACTCTAGCAAATATGCTTAATAGAGATACTCTATGATGCACATTGCAAAAAGTTTGTCATTTAGATGAAATATGTTAGAAAGTTCATAAGAAATCAGCACAAGAAGAAAAAGGAAAAGAGTTGAGACACACATATATAACTCATATGGGTGAAAATAAAATCTAATAATTGCCAAATGTGTTTCACAATGAAGAATTAGAAAACCTGAAAAACTTGCTAGTATCTATGGAAAAATAGATTTGCTACTCAGATACCTCAAGTACATGCACTGTTATATTATCTAGCATTTCCTCCTCTTCTCATATTTTTATGGTCTTAGAGATACTCATTTTAGCTCCTAAATCATTGGTTGTGGAGCTTTATATCATTTAAATAACTTCAGTCACAAATTTAGTTCATGTACTTCTTATATAGAATAAGAAAATATTTATTACACATAGAATTTTTAATAATCAATCTTGGCCAATGAGATCTTATAAATAAATCCTTCACAGCTCAAAATGTCCTTCGTTATTCAAAAAGCTAGTTAAAGATTTTATGCATAATGTTTTGCCCTTTACATTATGTCTTTCAAGAACAAAGCATGAGGGCAATTGGACTTGCTAAAGAATGGGATGGTCTCTACAACCCTTAGAAATCCACTATTCAAAAAAGTTTCTCGTAATCTCAAATTTTTCTTTTGTTTTAGAACCTCTTAAATTCAGTAAAAGTAAGACATGTCAAACAATTATTTCTTAGTCATTAGTTTTTTTCTTGTAATTATATTTTCTTCATTATTCAAAGAAATTAGGATTGAAGATTTTTTTTTTATGTTTTTGTATTAGCAATACAAAAATATTGTAACTTTTTAACTTTAAACTTTTTCTCTCATAATTCAAGAAAAAAAGGAATAGTATGCGAGTCACATCTTATTTGTATATGCCAACAAAATGGAATAGTCGGATAAAATAACAACCATGTACTTACTTCTATGAAGGCTCTTTTTTCTTAAAAAAAATGTTCTAAATTAATATTTGGGAAAGTTGTATTAATTGTTTCTTGCTTCATAAACTTGTTCACTACATGGGTTCTTAGGTTCTATAGTCCTACAAAAATCTTGACCAATTTATTTCATCACTTCAACAACTTAAACTACTTTATTCCTAGAAAATTTGGATATGTTAATTTTATTATATGTAGCTAAAAATTTGCCATTACTTGTGTTGGACATGTATCAGACATGAACATGGCTCTTACACACCCATACATGGCTCCAACATGCCCGTACATGGCTCTGACATGCCTGACACATGTTTGACATTGCAAAATTTGTATCTGAATTTTTTATGTCTCAAACACACATTGACATTGTATCAAACATAGACTCGACTCAATTTTAGAAAAAATGAGACACGAGTAGAAAATTAAAATTATATTTGTAGCCCTAATTATACCTCATAATGAAAGCCTCCTTTTCAATCATGTCGAAGTTCCTTCCAACAAGCCAATCATCAAAGATGCATCTAACATTCCTTGAAGTCTAGTGTCGTTAGTTTTCTCTGTTTGTCAATATCAAGCTCCAAAGATCCATTCTGTATTTATTGAAGTTGAATATTTGAGTTTCCTTTTGTTCATCAAAGCCGAAAATGCACCAGCTAAAGTGGAAGTTGTAAGCTTCTTTGCAGCAATCTGGGTAGGAGTCAAACTTGTTCGTTGAAGTTGATCGAAATACCCTGCATCGAAGTTGGAGCTAAACCCTACGATGTCTGCACTAGAGCCTTTATTCGTTGAAGCCAAGGGAAGTCAAAGCTGCCCTAGTTCTATAAGTGAACTTATACTTTTTTTTTACTGTTTAATGAGTTAATATTTATAAATCTATATTTGTTATAATTTTTAAAAATTAAATTTTAACTTAATTAATAGAAAATGTAATCGTATGTTATTTTAAATTTTAGTGGATAATTTGGAGGAATTCTTTTGAAACATAAAAAATGTTTAATTTTGAAATAATTGATTTTTGTAACCTAAGGTTTCATGATACACGTTAAATTTTATTCTTTCATATTTTGTTTTGTGATTTCTTTAGTAGAGAATAATGAAAAAAAAGAATATTTTATATAATTAAGTTATTAAATGTAAAAAAAATATGTCCATGACATGTCGTGTCCCACATTTTTTTTCATGTCGTGTCTTGATATTGTGTCATGTTGTATCCGTGCTTGAGTTTCGTAGTTTTTTTTCATATGCATTTTCAAAATAGAGATAAACATATACAAAGACAATTAAATGTGGTTTCATTGGTTTTTCTCCCGCACAAAAGAATGCAAATGCTACCTTTGGGACAAACAATCATTCACAAATGATAAATATGGACATCTTCTTTTGGATCTCCCTTCCTTTCCATTGAATCCCAATAAGCAATTATGCCCTAGAATTAGCTATTTCTACCCAAATAAAACCTATACATAAATTGCTTTCTAGACAGCTATTTTTATTACAGGTTTAACTAAGATGAAAATTATCATTCCCTCAATCTTTGCAAGTCCAATCACTATTTCTACCCAAATTATCATTCCCTCAATCTTTGCAAGTCCAATCAACTGAATCAATTCCTTTTATTGATTTCACTTAGGTAATTATTGTACTCGCAGTTGAAAGGATTCTTGGTACCAAAGATACAAGAACTTCTACTTAACATTTCCTATATTTATTTTTATCATATAAAAATCTTTGTAATAATTATCAAATATTTATTATTAGCCGGCGTATCATTTTTCTTTACGTTTGTCTATGAGGCATTAAATGATGAGAATTAAAATAATGCAATAGATTATCTTAAAAAAATTTAAGTATGGGATTTAGTATAAAATCAGATAGTTCCTTGGAAAGATATAAAACTAGATTGGTTGTTAAAGAGTAAGCTCAGATGCATGCAATTGACCTTTGAACCTTTGCTTAGGTTGTTAACATGAACATAAGTTCCTTTATCATTAACCACCAAATTTAACCAGAAAATACAATAATTCTATATTATCAATTCTTCCTTATATGGCCCAGAGGAGTAAGTGTACTGAGGCACCGCCTTGATTTGGCTCAAATATGGAACAAAGGGAATGTAAGCTAAAAACATCATTTTCTAGGTTAAAGTAATCCCCAAGGGCTTAGTTTGAAGGGTTCGCTAAGATAATGCTCAGCATGGGAGACAAAGAAAGTCAAGAAGACCATACAATATTAATTTTATTTCACTTGATTTAAGGGAGAGCCTCAACATTATTAGTTTATGTTGATAAGGTATTGTATGGAAGGGATGGATGACTTGAAGAAGCTGATATGCAAGCGTGAAAGCCTTATGGAATTTAATCATAGACAATCCTATAGAATACAGTCATGGATGCCCTAGATGATGTAATAGTAGACATGTGGGAATAATTATCTACTTATCACATACTAGAGTTGACGTTGTTTATACAATTACTGTTATGGTTTAATTTATGCACAACCCAAAGAATCACATCATAGGGTAGTATATATAATTTTATTTTATTTTATTTGAAGGAAACCTAGGGCAAAGGAATTTTATTATAATGGTAGCGGATCTGACTCTTGAAGTTTACACCTTCGCAAATTATCAGGTTTTATGGTAAACAAGAGATTCATCTCATGTTATCCCACATTCTTAGAAGGTAAATCTTGTGACTGAAGAAGCTATAAATAAATAATATGGCAAAATCTTAAGCTGAAGCCAAATTTAGATCTATGAAAGTACGTGTCTGTGAATTGCTATGGCTAAAAACTATCATGGAAGCTTTAAGATTTGGAAATATTTTATGATGCTCCATCGTGATGACAAGTGAGCCATCAATATTGACATAATTCTGTGCAATATGACCACACAAAGCTTATTGAAGTTGGGAGTCATTTTATTGAAAAACTTGACAGTAGTCTAATCTGGATGCCATTCATAACTATAAGTAATCAACTCGTCAATGTACTCACTTAAGAATTACCAAGGACGAGTAATGGATAAACTTTCGAAAGCTCAATCAAGCTGTCCATTTTTGTACCCAAAAGGCTCTTACACTGCTTTTTTTTTTGACTCGGTTCTTAAATCTTCGGAGCTTTTTACCATTCTCCAATATGATAGAGCTGTTTTTGCATAAGTCTGAAGACGTTTTTTTTGTAACTTTTTCTTACTCTTTTTTCTGTTTAATACAAAATGCACACCCTTCATGGATAACTTTTATTGATTATTTTGAGGAGTGAATAAATGCATGATTTCCACAGATTCTGCACTTCATACGCCTTCGCATCCTTTTGTTAACTCCCAGTATTGAGCTGCGCCCTTCATGCGTCCACTTGCTGTCTTCCTGCAATTTGCCAGTTATCCCCATGTCAACTCACCGATCCAGCTGCCTTCTCCATCCCATCTTACTGTTTTATGCATGGATGGATTGTCATCATTTTAGTGCTTTCCTATTGTAATTATTTTATCGATTTTATATAATTGATTTTCTGCCCCTAATCTTCTACATTACTTACTGGAAAAATTCCTTCCTAGGATTGTATTAATTCAGCACACATGTTGATTAAACCACACCCCATTATTCTCCATTTTCTGTCAGTCATGAAACGAAAAATAACTGATGCTTATAGATGCTTTGTCAATGAGAGGAACATATTTCAATTGCCTTTATTTACGTAATTTTAAAGCCTTAAAATGTGGTTTTTCATTGGGTGAATGCAGATTGCAGCAGCAGAAACAGTTTTATTAGATCATTGCAATTTGTATTAAAACGTTTTACTCTCTTTGTTTGATTGTATGTTCCTTTGTTTGCAAAATTTCTTTTCATGATCTAGTCCAATATGCCTCTTTGTTTTTCTGAAAACTATTTAAATATTAAGCCTTTAAAGCAGATAATATTGTCATTTCAGCGAATGGCTTGGTAAGAATGACCACAATTCGATAAATTAGTATCTATCCTGAAAATATCAATTCCCTAAACAGAAAAATATTTATTTTGTTTTTTATAGCAAAAGAATGTGATTAGTGATCATGTTTTGTTTTTCAGGACCATTTGCAGTTATTGATGAGCATTTCAACGCAGTACTACCAAATTGTTTCGATGCAATTGGTGTAATGCTTATGATCCGAATAGTACATCAATACAAGGTGCGTACATCAATTGTCTTTTGGAATTCCTTGATAAATATGCAAATAACTTGGCTACATTGAACTTGTCTAGAATTTTCCTAGCTGCTGTTTTTTAGCTTTGCTTTCATAAGATTCCTTTATTTCCAAATCTATGTATGCATGTAAATATTATTTTTATAACATTGATCTTTAACGCTTGCAAAGTGGATGCAAATCTGTAGCACTTTTTTTTTTTTTTTCGGTTGCGATCAACTGTGGCGAATAACTCAATAGTGCAGTGAACCTTGCTTCAACTTGATGAACCTATTTTGCATTTGACTTAGAGCGGATAGGGGTACAAATCATTCTCTCAATAGCTCCACGAATTCTTCCAAACTGACCATTATATTAGGTATGCCCCTTAGCTTGTTCCGACGTTGGCCACACCACCATCTTTTGGCTTCGTCATCCAGCACAAACATTGCGAGCAGTACTCTTATTTCATCCGAAGAAGCCTTGTTATCTAATATCTTCTCTATCCTCATTAGTCAGTTCTTCGCTTCAATCGGGTTTTCAATTCCCCTTTAAAAAGGTGGATGTTGATCTTGAAATATCTTCAAATCATTATTTACAGTGACTGTATCACTTCCGCTTCCTCTTTTGGACTCCTGAATCAACGGAGTCATTTGGGTGAGGGCATTTGTGTTCACATTTATGGTAGATTGTACTTCTTTATTTTCTATTTGATTTTCTTCTGCTATGATTTCGGGCGTATCACTATGCCTGAATGTTTAATAATTATTACTTTAAGTTAATTTCAATTTTTATAATTATTTTTCTTAGAATTATCCTATTGAATCTTTCATCAAGTTTTTATTAATTAATACTAAACCTTGGTTTTGATACCACTTTTATCATGACCCAACCTGGGGCTTAGAATTAAGCAAGACGGGTACAGACGATTTAAATTAAATGGATGATAGGGCACCGCTTATCAAACTAAATTAAACCGGTACGATTAAATTACCTCGTTATTAGGTTTCTGTATCTTCTATAATTGTTTTTCCTTATATCGCTCATCTTTAATCGTTTAATTGACCTGAATAGTTAGCTTAAGATAACAATGAGCTAAACAAATCAGTTAATACTTATATTTTGAAACTGGAGCAACACAAGGAAAAGAAAGTAAAATGCATGTCAGTTAAAATTTTAATAAATCAATATTAAGAACTTTTAATGTTATCAATGAATCTTGCTATTTCAATATCATACTAATATCATTATAAATTTATGTAACCGTCACAGGAGCACCGTATAAAAGTTTATACCGATTATGGTACTTCAATATCAATATCTTTACAGTGCAAATGTCTAAAATATAAAGTGAGGATTTATGTCGTGTTAGGCAGACCACCTCGAAGTTTTATGACTTGTTATTTAAACTAGAGAAATATATGCTGTTGTAGATCGTCATCCTCCACCCGCTGCTTCTCCGTCGTGCTGCCCACGAAGACTTGTTCCAAACTCCAAAATGTAGTGACTCTAAGGGTCCGTTTGGGACAGCGGGGTGAGCGCGTCGCGCTGACGGGCCGCGACTTGCGGGTGTTTGGTTCGGCGTCTCGAGCACGACAGGACACCGTGGGGCGTAATTTTGGCGGAAAGCCAACCGCAGATCGATCCCCACGGCCTGCGGTCGACGATGGATTATTACGCATGATACCCTAACCAAAATTCCTCTGTTGGACGTCGAAGCTCTCACGTTCCTCCCTCTCTATCGCTCCACCGCTCCATTGTCGCGGTCGATTCCATCACACAACTCCTTGCCTGTCCTCCCTCCCACGCGATCCTCCCTCCCTGCGGCGTTCGAAGCCGCCGTTGATCATTTCCGTTCTCCTCTAGCCTACCACGAGCTCTAGCCTATCGATAAAAACCTTAATCCCCGTCATTGCAATGGCAGCGGTAATCCCAACGGCTACTTGCCTCCCGTCACGCATCTAGGGGTGATCTAGGGTTGCCGGGTCGACTTTCTTCCAGCTAAACATTGTCGACTGCTCCCTTTATTACCTCAATAAGGTGAGTGTTTCCCTTTAAATTTGCCCCTGTCCATTTTTGCCCTGTTGAATCTTTTATTTTATTGAAAGTTTAGGTTTTACTTGGGCTCTGTTGTTGTCAAATTCAATTATCTAATCGGTGGGTGCATATTAGGAATCAATATGTAATCTTCCTGAAATTTGTTTATTTAGGACTGATTTGGGTTAAGGTAAGTGTTTGGAAGTAACTAGAACAATGACAAGTATTTGATTCGCTAAAAGTCACTGAAACTGTTCCTACCCGTTTTTTTTAAACCAACGACATAAATGGGAGAAGTGAGTTTAACTTGTGAGGCTTTGAAGTCACTTTCTTTTGTATTTTATGAAATTTAATAATAAAATAATACATCTATAAAATGAGAATGATTTAGAATGATTATTTTACTTGTAATGGTAATAAAGTAAATTATGTATCTGAAGTTTTCTTCTGTTTCTGCTTATGAAGTATCAAATATGTGACTGTCACAGTTTTGTTTTAAACAATTTTATTAAATAGGAGCAAAATAGTCATTTTTCTAGAAACAACTGTTCCGCAGCTATTTTCACATAGCTGCAACAAACAAACAATCAGCTTCCCCGAAGCAGCTTCCCTACAGCAGCTTCCTGCGACAGCGCAGCTGCAGCTGAAAAGCTGAGAAACTGCAATCAGGATAAGCTGTCTGGCTGGTTGGTTGGCGCTTATTGAAAACAGCTGATTCTGAAAAATTGACCATTCTGCCCCTGTTCTGAATAAACAGTTTAGCTGTTTGGTTAGTGCGTTTTGTAAACAGCTTTTTTGGAAATTTTTTTTTAATTAAATGAATAATCTGTGGAGCAGTTATCATGACGACTATGCTAAGAGATGGTCTTTCTAAATGCTGAAGTTTACTCACCATATGTTGAGCTGAGCTGATTCCTATTATGGTTTTCCATCTTGCCTATAAAGTAGAACTTGAACTTTCACCCTTGTTGCTTTTAATTCCTTAACGTAGCCCCTCTTGAATGATCATGTAGAGCTTACAATAAGTTTTAGGGGCATTTACATACCTACCACTTAATTTCTAATGATCATGTAAAACTTTAATAGGTGCATTGAAAACTACTTGTCTAAATAATGCCCAACTTTGATTCAAACGGAGAGCTTTATGAAATTTCTGCCACAACTTTGATTCAAATAAAGTTTACGAATGAATCTATAAAGTGAAATTAGGTAGCTTTTCTTCATAAAACAACAAAGGTAGCAAATATTGACATTGAAGTGTTTACAACAGATGAAAGCAGAACGGATCCATATTGTAATTTCTAGTGCTCGTAGGCAAAGCTATTTGTTCTCTCAGAATATATTTACAGAGAAGCTGAAATCAATGTTCAAATAATTATAATAACAAAGTTGATGTTATATCAAGTAACAATAATCCAAAAAATAATCATAAATCCAATACGATCTGACACTTATGCTTAGGAACTGCTCTAAATTAACTAAAATATGCATGTTGGATGCAATCAAATATATATATGAATGTCACACAAAAAAAAAATCTATTTGCATGAAATATCAAGAGTACGGATATGGGAGAACTGCATCAACAAAGGGGGATGACTACAGCTTTGGTGTTCTTGCCCTTGAAATGGTCATAAGGAAGAGACCTACTGATGATATATTCACAGAAGGATTAATTCTGCCGAAATGGGTTAGAAACCATTTACCTACTCAGCAAGAATATCAAAGAAGCGTTCACGGGAGAAACCATTTACCTACTCTGCCGAAATGAATCTATTCTGCCGAACGACTGCGATCCGGCGGAGACCAGAGGGAGAAGCAATGTTACGGGAGCAAGAGGCCGAGCCCCGCTGGATCCGACGTCGAATGGCAATGTTACGGGAGCAAGAGGCCAAGCCCTCGATCCGGCGTCGACTGGCAATGTTATGGGTATGGGAGCAAGAGGCCAAGCCTCGCTGGATCCGGCGTCGAGCGGCTTCCTGACGGGAGGGAGAGGCGAGCGGGGTGTTGTCGGGAGAACGGCTGCGATCTGGGCGAGGCTCGCGGGAGCCGGGGCTTTGAATAAAGACGAGAGCGAAAGCGAGAAGCTAGGGTCACGGGAGAGGCGAAGGAAAAAAGAAGGTCACGGGCGTAAATTACAATTGGAAAACGCGGACCGCGGGCTGACCCCCGCGGTCCGCGTCTTTTACAATTGAGAATTTTCAATAATTTGGCGATAAGTGGGTACCAAACAGTGAGGCGGCGTTTTCAAAACGCCGCCCGCACTTATAAGCTGTCCCCAACGGGTCCTAAGTTTAGTTTATGTTTTGTATTTGCAAGTATAATTATTGTTGGATCTCAAGGGCCCGGTGTACCTTCTAACATATGTTCTACTGTTCTCTACCTAAAGAGTTTAGCAAGTGAATTAAAGTAAATAATGCAATAAGAAGAACAACAAATTGTAGGAAACTTAAACAAATTGCTAGAGAATCTGGTATGATAAAATTATAATAAAAAAAACAAAAACGAGTAAAGCAAAATAAGATGTCACGTATAAAAGACCAGGAGTATGTGATTTATATGTAATACTTGGGTTGCCCCCAATTGCCAAAATGATTTGAGTGTAAGTCTTAAGCTCAAATCCTGGAGCATTGGTCTTCACTGTAGGTTAAGTCATGACTGAAATTTCACTACTTAATTAAATTAAAGGAAGTTATCAACCACATCTTGGTGTATCCTTATGTTTAGTGCTCATTCATTTGAAAATTAAGTAAATGAACAACCACCTTGGGTGTGCTCATAAAATCTAGGAAGTCTACACTTTAACCTGAGCTTGAAGTGATTTAATGTGTTTTACCATCAATTAAGCGTTTTTCAACTAATTCTCAAATATTTTTCGTTGTTTTTTCAAATAATTAAATCAGAAATTTTCATTTTTGACTTAACCATTCATAAGGAAAAATATAACAAAAGCAAATCAAAGGAGGAGACTGGCCCACTTCTAAAAAAAATCAGCTAAGCAAGGGGGCAAAATCAAAAGTGAATCGGCCTAAAGGAGTTTAAATTCTTTCAAAGCAATGATCAAATCAGTCCCAAAAGGTGTGTAAAAGCCTAAAAAAATTAACACTTAAAGTGCCCAAATCGATGTATAAAAATTTCTAAAAATCAACACTTAAAGTGCCCAAATCAATGTATAAAAGCCTAAAAAAAAACACTTAAAGTGCCCAAATCGATATATAAAAGCCCCAAAAAGTTACCAAATGAACCCCGTAGATGCGGCCCAAAAGTCACCAAACCAGCCCAACGATGCTGCCGTTTTAATTCACAAAAAGTGAAATACACCATTTTATGCAAAGGATAAGGTGGTGCATAGGTTAATACCAAAGTTTGGGGTGTTGGATGTGTAAATATATATAAGGCTCTGTTTGACGTAGCTGTAGCTTTCCAGCTTTTCAGCTGCAGCTGCGCTGCCTCAGAAAGCTGTTGTGGGGAAGCTGATGCGGAGAAGCTGGCTTGTTGTTTGTTACTGCTTTGTGAAAACAGCTGTAGGACTGCTTTTTCTAGAAAAATGACAATTTTGCCCCTGTTTAGTTAAACTGTTTGGAACATAACAATGACAATTTTATATATAATACAACAGAAGCAGAAATTCACTTTACAAGCTAAAAATGTTTACAAAAAATAAAAAAATTGTTTTCAAAATTAAAATAACAGCTTTTTCAAAACAAAACAAAAACCATAAACTTGATACTCTTAAGGACGGGAGTCCCTCGAATGAGGTAACATACGTTGCTAATAATTACATACAAGTAGTTCATACTTCACAAAAAAAACAAGCAATGAAGAGTCTGAAGCAATAATAAGCACCTCCAACGATTGAAACACATAAACCTTGTCATTCCCATGGAATTTACAATCAAGCTTTTGGCATGTTAAAAAGGTACAACGACTTGAGGTGGGGAAGAGTTCAGTTAAGCAAGGAAAGAAACAGTCATATGCTGTTGCACCTGCTCCATCAAACCAATCCTCCAATACTTGTAATCTCTTACTATTAAGCACCTCCAACGATGGAAACACATAAACCTTTTCATTTCAATGGAATTTACAATCAAGCACCCGTTCAGATTGATGTACTTCAGATTGGAGATCAAATCTGCATTTTACATCCATTTTGCAGAGCTTGCACCCTTGTATGAAAATATGGACGAACTCTTTAGATTTTTGTATGGTTTAAGATTTTCAAGCACAATCACATCTAAATCAGATTTGACAATGTTCCGTAGGCTTCCAAATAAATTGGAACATTTGCATCAAAACCATCCAATTCCCTATGTTTTTACACATATAACACCTAAACTTCACTTTATACCTTTATACCACTCAAATCTTTATATAGCCAACCAAATCTTTTGAGTTAATATGGACAGAAACTGTGCTAAGCTTGGATTGAATTAAAGAAGGAAAGCAGTGATTCTAATGAATTAAAGCATTGCTTGACATGTACATTGCTCGTAGCAGTTACCATATATTTCATACCTATGTCAAACATTCAAATCACCAACTGCAAAAGCTTATAGCATTCAGGAATAAATGGCAGCAATTGTTACTGTCGCGCTCTGCATTCCTGGAAGAGGATCAAACGCCAAAATAAATTTTCAAACAGATTCACACATTTTGTTTACAAAATTTCTTGGTTTTATGTAGTTTCCAGAAGAAAAAATGAAAATGGAATAGTTAAAAATTGATCAGGTGAAAAGAATTAGGAAAAAGAACAGGAATAGTTAAAAATTGATTTCACATTTTTGATAGATGATTGAGCATTACAGCAACTAACTTCATGCCAAAATAAAAATTGATCAGGTGAAAGAATCACCGCATCCTCAAATCAGCAGAAATTCATCCCTGAAAGTTCCCTAAAATTGTAACATTAACTAGAGAGTAACATCAACTCCAGTCAATATCTAGCCAAATCCAGAACCAATATCAACAATACATTGAAATTTCAGAGAAATTATAAAACCAAACTTCAAACACTATCCTTGCGATGTTGTGGCCTCTGAGATCAGAGAGTGATCTGAGAATTGAAGCTCCAGAGGCCTTCTCTAGTCGGATGCCTCTCACAGATCTGATATTTCTCCAAGCGCTAGGGCAGAAGAGTCGATAGAGAAGCTTGTTTGGTCAGACGCTATCCAAGGCAGAAGATGAGAAGAGGAATCACAATCGTGAGCTCGGGTGAGAGGGGCATTATGGGGCGGGGCGGGGCATGTAAGGTATTAAAAATGGGAAAACTCATGAGAAAAGCGGACCATGGGAGCGACCCGGCGGCCCGCTTTCCGCTGCGCGTCGGGGCCGCCGCGAACAAACCTCCGCCCCAAACAAGGGAGATTCGCGGGAGGATGTCGGCCGTTTTTTTTTAAACTTCGTGATTTGAAAAAGTGATGATTTTGTGATTTTGAAAATAATTTAAATATGAATATAACCCTTTTGCTTTTTAAAAGTAACATTTTAATTTTAAAATAGGTGAGACCAAACGGGTCTCACATTTTAAATAACTTAAATAATTGAATACAATACTACAAGTAATACACTTATCCCGAAGGATAAATATATCAGTTGTGATAGAGATTCAATCACCTAGATTAAACAATTTGTGACATTTGTTTTGATCTGCGAAATATTTTTATAAAAATGCCAACAAGTTCCCCTATCTAACATAAAAATTAGATAGGGTTTATTTTATCTGGGTTCCTGGTTCCCTATAAAGGCAAGCCCCTATAGTTAATTACATCTTAAAT